GGGGTTTCGGATAGGAACGAGAGCATCCCCGGGGGTTTCGGATAGGAACGAGAGCATCCCCGGGGGTTTCGGATAGGAACGAGAGCATCCCCCGTGGAGGAGGGTGAAGGCTGCGGGATGGGAGCGCTGGCCCTGGCACCTCGCGGGAGGGTCTGGTCAGGGCTCTTTGTGCACTCTGTACGTGTGGGGATGGCGATCCTTCCCGTCCTCCTTCCAGACCCGAGTCCATCCCAGCTCGGAAGCTGGAGAATCATTTCTGGGGGTCCCGGAGCCAGATTTCAGAGGCATGGAAGGAATGCACAAGGAAAAGTCCGTCCATCCATCCTCTCGCACCGTCCGGGGCTTTGCCCGAGCTCTCCGGCACAGCTCCAGGACAGCTCACCAGGCTGGCTGTCCCCACCGGTGTCCCACCTGTGCCTCCAGGCTGGAAACAGCTGCTACAGGATCCCAGCGGGGCTGGACAGCAGTTTCCCAGCTGAGGCAGCTCTGATGCTCCTGGCTGAGCTGTGGGCAGCACGGTTTTGCACAGTTTGGCGTGGCAGGCTCAGCACAGCCAGGCACGGAGCGGGGTCAGGGCAGGAGAGGCTGGGCTGGGGAGATTTCGGGCTCCTGGCTCCGGTGTGGGGCTGTCCACTCTCTGCTGTGGCTCTGGGATAGCTCTCTCGGATGCTGTGGGGTACAGTTAATCCCTTAGGTGGGCTCCTGCTCCTGTGGGGTGTGTTTGAGGGGTTTGAGTGACCCCAGCCCTGCTGTACACTGCCCGCAGTGCAGGGAGCTGATGCTGCTGAGCTGAAGCCCCAAATCCCCCAAGTCCCGTGGGCATGGAGATGCCAGTCCTGGCTGGATGCAGGGAACTTCCCACTGGCCAGGGAAGAGCAGTTTGCCCAGGGTGGCACAGTGGTGTTATCTCATTCCAACCCCTCATCCCGGCTGTTTGCTCAGGTGGACTTTGCTTTGCAGAGGAGGAAGCCCAGAGCCATGAGCTGGGAAGGTGTTGTGTCCCAGCCTGCTGTGAACCTTGGAGCCTTTTTGCCAGGAATTGTTCTGGTGCCTCTTCCCCATTTAATCTCAGCCAGCCAGCCCCTCAGATGTCCCTTTTCCTCTCTGAGGTGCCAGCAGAAGCTGTGGTGGTTTTGGAAGTGGTGGCATGTTTCAAATACTCCAGCACACGTGCAGGGAAGCAGCCCTGTGACTCCTATTAAAAAAAACATTAAATAATTGCAAACTTGCACATTCCCAGGCGAGGGAAATCCAAACTCACTCTAGGCAGGTCCTTTGGGAACCTGGGACATGACCTGTGCTGAGCTGGTGATTTTTTTCAGCATTTTCCACTAGCTTCAGCTCTTCCTGAGAGCTCAGAGCTCACCCACAAACCCGACTGAGTGTGTGTTACATCTTCTCTCCCTCCCATCCTTATTAGAGCTGAGTTTCTTCTGGGTTGGGGTTCTCTGGAGGTGTTTTGAGTGCATAGATTAAATCCTGAGCTCCACAGCCCCTGCTGGAAGTGATGGTCCCTGGAGGGCTTTGCAAGCATCCGGCATGCAGAAGTGCATTCCCGATCCTCAGTTTTAGGGCAGCTGGGGCCTGACTCTCTCTGCTCCATGGATTTGCTGGAAAATAGCTGGGAAAAGCCAGGGAACCAGAAAGGAGCAGGGAGCTAGCTGGCTTTGTGGTGAGGTGAGTAATGTGTGAGCAGGCAGCAGCCTGGCTGGGCTTCCCCCTCTGACCTGCCCCAGCTGCACCCACACAGTTCCCTGTTCTGCCCTGCTGCTTCTCTTCCCAAAATTACACAACACTGAAGGTCGTGGGGTTCTGAGCGTTCCCAAGAGCAGCTGGGATTGTTGATCTGCTGCTCTTGAGCCTGATGATGTGGCCAGGATGCTGGGGTTTTTTCCACAAATGATTTTTCCACTCCTCTGGCTCAAACTGCAGGGGGTTTGTCCAAAATCAGGGGTTTATTTACTATTTTTTTAATTATTTTTTTTTTCTCTGCTGGCAATTTGTGGTTGCCAGACCAGGGGCTGGAGAAGAAAGGAGCTAAATGAGATCATTGTTCGTTGCTTTGCTCTGACACTGGTGGGACTTGAGCAGTGCCTGGGGCTTACACAGGGCTGGGATTTTCATTGCTCTTCCATCCCTGCCTTCCCTCCAGAGCTGGACCTGGGGGAGCTGTGTCCTCAGAGCACACCAGGTTATATTTCCTCTTTGGTGCAGCACAAACTGCTCAGTGCCAGTTCAAACTGGGACTCGGTGTTTCTTGGGCAGAGCAGGGGTGACCCTTTCTTTTCTTGCAGTTTGAAAGAAGGGAATGAAAACACTTCTTTTTCTGTGCTCAGGCATAAAATGTATTGCAAAAAAAAATAATGAGGGGGCTCAGCAAGCATGAATGTTGGGTCTGATCGGAAGGGAGAGATGTTGCCAGTTGTTAAACACGGCCTGAGAACAAAGTGGGTGGGTTTATTTCAAGGTCAGCACAAAGATAGAGAGAAATTTCTCTTCCCTTTTGATTGCTGGAAAAGTTGGGCTTGGAAACACAAGGCAGGAAGCCTGGGTAGTGTTTTAACCCTTGCACTGCCAATCCTTTCAGTGTTGATACAGCTGGATAAAACATTGTGTGATGTTTTTGGGGGGGTAGTGTCAGAATTTCCTCATGCCACGTGTTAGGTGACAAATCACCAGGTGACACAGGAAAGCGTCTGACCACAGATTTTATCTGTGTGGTTTGGAGAGCAGATTCTTCTCTGAACACATACCAAAAGTAGGAAATGAGGGACATTCAGGAGGCTTTGTGAGGGCTCATTAAAACTCATTAAAACTTACTTAGTGCTCAGAAAATGCTTTTTATTCCTCCTATCCCAGCACATCCTTGATTTGCCTTTATAGATACCCGAATATAAGAAGCAGCACAGCCAAATTCTCCATCCCAGCCATTTCCAGAGACAGAGGGGTTAAAAACTATAATCCCCACCCATTCAGAGGAGCTCAGCTGGCTGGACCTCCAGTGTGGATGCAACACCAAGTTCCCTGTGCTGTGCAAACTGATGGAATTCTGGCCAGCTGTGCTCGTTCCCTGGGGCAAAGGCTGCTGACAGTGTGCAGAATTGGGTCCAGCAGTGCTGGTGTCACCCCATGTCCCCAGCAGCACATTCTCCTGTGCCACTGCAAAGACAAAACCGGGTCCCCACAGCAGCACTGATGTCCTTAGGGGAGAGAAATTTGGCAGGAGAGCTGAATGGGATGCAGGGAGGAAGGCACTGAAATGATTTATTTCCCTGGGAACTGCTTTGCTCCACTCGACGTGGAAACGTTGCTGGGCTGGGAGCTGGACCACACAGGCTTGTAAATCCCTGCTGGAATAAACCCCAGGCAGGGGGGCTGAGCTGCTCTCACCCCCCAGATGACAGCCTCTGGCTGAGGACAGGGTGAGGAGGGAAGAAGTTGGATGATTTCCCTGCTCCTCTTTGGAAATGCCTTTGGTAGGGACGGGCAGCCCCGGGATTTTGAGAGCTGGGAACTCTGATTTTGTGCTGCCATGAGGAGCTGCTGTGGCCTTGCTGCAGGGCTGGTTGTTCCCTGGAGTGTTTGTCACCCAAAGCCAAAGCCCAGCTGTCACTGCTCCCACTCAGGGCTGAGGATTCCCCACGCCCCCAGCCTGAGTTCATCCCGAGAGTCCCCGCTCTGCTCTGCTCTGCTGGGACTTGTTCCCTGCTGGGAAATTCTGCAGGAAGCCAGAGGTAAAGGTGCTGTTTGCTGCCTTGGCTGGGTACCCACCTTGGCTCTGATCCACTGCTTTTCCTGCCGGGAAGGAGGTGAGGAGGCCGGGCAGGGGAAGGTGCTCTGCGAGGGGGAGAAGTTTTGGTGCCTCTTGCCCTGTGGAATCTTTTCTAAGCAGCATGGTTTGGTTCCTGCTCCACCTGGGGTTGCTGGAGAGCTGGGTCAAAGCCAAGCAAGGATTTGGGACAGAGCAGGGAAGAGAAGAATCTGATTTTGCTCAGGACAGAGTGGCCGCTGCAAAGTCCACTTTGGCTTTGCTCGGAGGTAAAGGTGGGATTTCTCCCCTCAGGACAACTCGTGCTACAGGAGCCAGATCCTTGAAAAAACAGCTTTTTAAAATGTATTTCAGTGCTGGCAACCCAGCCCATTCCTGCCTGTCTCAGTGCATCTCCCTTGGTGTCAACAAATGCTCTGGAAATCCCTGGCACCTGGAGTTTGGGCACAGGGAGTTGTGAATTCCTTGTCTGCATCAGCCCTGAGGAGGAAAGAGCCGGCTGGCTGAAGGCTAATTCTTAAACAGACGGATCAGGAGGATTAATCAGCTGCTCAGCACGTTCTCATTTTACAAAAATTGCCTCCAACCTGGGAAGTGCTGCACTGTTTTTAATCTCCTCCTGCCTGTGGAGGAGATTTCGGCCTGAATGCAAAACGTGGCTATCCCTGCTTGCTTTTCCCAGACTGTTCAAAGGGAATTAGAATTAAATCCGCAGCTGAGGAATATGCCAGAGTCAGCTCCTGGTTTTAGTCTGCTCATCCATGGGCCCTGCATGCTGTGGGAGCTCCCAGCTGGAAGCTGGAAGGCAGCTGGACCAAATGTGGATGAGGAATGTGTGTTGTTCCAGTGGTGCCAGTGCCTCGGTGGGACATCTCCCCATTAAATCTCTCTCTCAAAAAAAAAAAAGGTAATGATTCCATAGCAATTTCACAAGAATTTTTGGAGTCTCTCTTTTCTCAAGCCTCCTCCATGCCCTGCTCCTCGTTGTGCAGTCAACAATTGCACCAGCAAGATGATTTCTCCCATCTTGGGGGTGGGAATGCTGTTCTTGCAGCTGTCCAGATGTGCACGGAATGGCATTCCCATTGTCCTTCTGGCCATGGAAGAGAAGGCAGGAAATAAATAGTGGGCTGTGTGAGCTCAGGAAAGCTCAGCTGGGAAAGAGAAATGTTCTTTTCTGGGGCAGAGAGAGGTAAGGAGCAGCTCAGGAGGAGAGGGGTGGCACAGCTCTGCCTCCTGCCACCAGGAGCTGCCCAGCTCTCTGGGGAGAGGTTTGGCTGCAGGAGGTGCCAAAGGCTGGGGTTGCTCTCCCTGTTCCAGTCCTGTTTAACCCTTGGATTGGGATGGGCTGGCACCGAGGGGTGGCAGATTCCCACAGAGGAATCTGCCCCAGAGGCCAGAGGCAGGGATTGATCCCTGCAAGAATTCAGGGTTTGGTGCCAGAGCAGGACACAGGGAGGCTTTGCTGTTGACCAAGGAATTCTGTGACTGTGACTGATTCCCAAGCCAGTTCTGGAAAGGACTGCGATCCATGTCATATAAAATGACAAAATTAGTGACCTGGACAGAAGAGGAAGTCAGCTGCAGCTGATCATAGTGGCTCCTTCTGCCTTTAACAATTTCATTTTCACTTCTGTTCCACACCTTCAGGGATGAGTAACTTTTTCTCCACTATGCCACTTGTCAAGAAGCAAGCGAGGGAAGGCAGCAGAGGAAATCTGGGGCTGCTTACTCAGTAAGGCATGAAGATAATGGCTGTGTGATATTTGCTCAAGAAAACCAAACGAGGCTCCTTGGAGCTCTGCTTCCCTTCTTGGGAAAGCACAGAAACCCTCAGCTGTTGGATGTGGGATGTGAGCTGGCAGCAATTTCTCCTTGCCACAGTGGGACTGTGAAAAACCCTTCATTCTCTGCAGGCACCAGGGATTCTGCTGCAGGCTTTGGGGTGGCACTGGAGCTGGGACCACACTCCTGTGCTCAGGCAGCACAAGTATGAGACCTTTGGCTTTGTTTTTGAGCTGGAGCCTTTCTCTTTCACCCCAGCCTCTCAATTCATCTCACTGATGCCAAAGACTTGCAGCTCTCACTCTTGTTATTTCTCTCTCTGTCAGGAGGTGAAGATTTTCCGTGCCTTAATCCTTGGGGAGCTGGAGAGGGGCCAGAGCCAGTTCCAGGCTCTCTGCTTTGTGACCCGGCTGCACCGCAACGAGATCATCCCCAGCGAGTCCATGGCAAAGCTGCGGCAGGTACGGGATCCATCCTCTCATCCAGCCAGGAATTCTCAGTTATCCTGCCTGGATTCCCATTCCCAGGCAGCTGCCTGGCTGCTCAGCTCTTCAACCCACCTCTGACCACCCCTCCTGCTTGAGGGATTTGGTGTGAAACTGAGTTCATCAGCAGTATTGATCCTGTTCTAGGAAAGCACTTGAGATTTCGTTGAGCCTCGTTTGTGTCGTGATTTAGTTCAGCCTAATTTGTGTCAGGAGTGGCTGTGAAAATCCCGGCCCAAATGAAGCCAGTGCTGATCTGGGACCATTTATCAGGACAAAACATGGAGAAACCACCACAGGCAGTGGTAAAGCGTGGTGGTTTCAGTATCAACAGGTTATTTTAAAGTGCCTCTCACCCAGGCAGGGTGCAGGTGCACATCTGTTCTCACATCTGCTGTTGGCACCACATGACAATGTGCTGTAAGGAACAAGATGCACCCAGGATTGAAGTTGTGATGATTTCCCCTGCAGAAAAACCCCCGGACAGTGAGGCAGGCAGAGGAGGTGCGAGGTTTGGAGCATCTCAGCATGGACGTGGCTGTGAACTTCAGCAAGGCAGCGCAGCTGAGCTCCCACATCCACAACGTGTGCGCAGAGGCCAGGGAGGCCATTTACACCCGCGAGGAGGATGTCAAGTTCTGGCTGGAGAAAGGTGAGTTCCCTGCTCCTGTCAGTGGGCTGGCACGGTGCTGGGATGGCTCCTGCCAGGTTTCTGGGGATCAGCACCGACTGTTTTGGCTCTGAGGCACGTGTGTCACCCTGCAGCAGTGTGTGTTAGCAGATCTCTCCTGCTGCTGGCGCTCCCCCAGTGAACCTAATTTGGGATTTAACCTCTCACCTGCTCCACTGCCCAGAGGAAAGATGTTTGCTTTGTGTCTTCTGGCTTACTCTCCCTCGGGTCTTTTGTTCTCCTGTGGTTCCTATTCAGGTTTAAGTCCCTGGAGATGCTCTGTCCAACCTCCTCCTTGACCTGGGGACTGCAGAGATACCAGAGTATCTTTGGTGGCTGTTTCCTTTGGCTTTATCTCATGGCAGCACCCTGAGGGATGTCTGCTCGAGGTGCTGGACCTTGCTTTCCTTTTGTTCTCCTGTGTTTCCCATCAAGATTTAAATCCTTGGAAGCCTCTGTCCAGCCTGTTCCTCAGCTGGGGGCTGTGTGGGGATAGCTTTGCTGGCTTTGGTGGCTCTCCCCTCTGTCTGCTCCACCCTGAGCTGTTCCCACAGGGGTGGGCAGCTCCACATTTGAGGTGTTGCCACAGGGCTCTGCTGGACCTTGTTTTCCTTGGGCTTTTGCATTTCTCCTGCAGTTCCCATTCAGATTTGAGCACCAACAGCCCTTGGAAAAGCTCTGTCCATCCTCCTCCTCAGCCTGGGGGCCGTGTGGGGTCGGTTTTGGTGTCTCTCTCCTTTGTCTTCCCTCGGTGCCGAGCTGTGTCTGTGCTTGCTCCCGCAGGGGTGGACGGCTCCATGTTCGAGGTGCTGCCGCAGGGCTCGGACCTGCCGGAGCTGCAGCGCTGCCGGCTGTGCCTGGACCGCTGGAAGCCCTGCATCTGCAGCTACTCGCTGAGCATCGAGTGGTACCCCTGCATGCTCAAGTACTGCCGGAGCCGCGACGCCGGCGGCAAGGTGTCCTCCTACAAGTGCGGCATCCGCAGCTGCCAGAAGGGCTACACCTTCGACTACTACGTGCCTCAAAAGCAGCTCTGCCTCTGGGATGAGGAAACCTAGAGCCAGGCCAGACTTCCCAGGGGTGGCTCCTCTGCCCTGGCAGGGGGCTGGCTGCTCCGAAGAAGGAATGCTGTTCACAGTGGTGCCTTGTGCTCTGTGTGTGTGCCTTTCCTCGCCCCGTGCTGTGACAAGCAGGCTCAGCTGGCTGGGTGGTGATGCTCTGGCTCCCCGGAGCAGGAGATGCAGGTTTTGGGGTGAAGCACAGGGAAAGGGGTGTGCTGCCCTGCTCTGGAGCTCCAAGGGGCGCTTCCCAGCCTCGAGCTGAGCGGGCAGGGCAAGGATCTTGCTGACCTGGGTTGCCAAACATGTCTGCCACTGAAGAACCCCCTTCGCTGCCTTCACCACCTCCTGGTGACACAACCACGGGGAAACAGCTGAATTTTGGGACCACACCCCTGAACAAGGAAGGTTTGAAGCCCACCCAAAGCAAGAACCTGCCTGTAGCTTTTTCCTAGTGCCTGACTGGCTGTTTTATCCCCCCGTGGATGGAAGATACACTGGGGGATATAGCCCAGCATCCTGTGCCCCTAAAGGGCTGGTAATTAGGGCTTGAATTAATCCCTATCTAGACTAGTGAAGGCCCAACTTTTTGTGTTGGTCTTGTGACTGTTCCACTAAGAAAGAAACATCTAGAGACTCGTGACTACCAGCCTGACCCTGTGGTTGCAGGGGGAGAGGAGGATGCCAGGTGGGTTTTGAAGAAGACAGGATCCTACATCCACATCCAGTTTTACATCCTGCTCTGCCAGCTATTCACAAGAAGCTCTTAAATAACTGTACTGCTTTGCTGTGCCTTGGTTCCCCCTATATGTTAAACAAGGATGACACTGAAGTTGTCCTTGGCTCTGGAATATTCCTGGAGGGATCAGACAAAAAGCGCTGGAAGTGCTGCTTGGTTCTGTGTCCTCTTCCACTCAAATTAGGACAAGCACAGAGGGGAGAGAAGCTCTTGGGGTCTTTAGGAACCTCCTGTGCCTCCTGGTGAAAAGCCTTCACAATGTGCCTTTTTGCCTAAAATACAGGAATTTTTGAGAAAGAGGAAAAAAAAAAAAATTGGTCACAATTATTTTTGTATCAATCACTTAAGGGGGTGGGGGGAGAAGGGAAAGGTATTTTAATATTGGAACATGAAGTAAAACACACTTGAAATGAATTTTTTTAAAACAAATTATTTATCATTTGTAAGGTAAAATAAACTGATTTTTTAAACCATCCTTGGCCTAAAAGTTTGATACTCTGTGTGTGAATTCAGGTTTGTTCCTTTATGGATAAGTCTCAAACCTGCCCCTGGTGAAGAGCCATGGATTTGTGGAGAACATCCAGGAATTTTTGTCTCAGCAACGTGATGCTGCACCTCAAACACCCCATCCTTCCAGCCCCTCTGTGGGGAGACAGGTTTGGCTCATCTCAGGCAGTTGTGGGAGCTTTGAGCTCGAGCTGTGCTGGATAAACCCATCAGTACAAGCAGGGGCTGGGGGCTGGGGGCTGTCCCTGAGTGCGGTAAAATATTCCTGCTGAATTCCCGTGCAGCTCCAGCTGGTGAGAGCGGCACTTTGGGGCCAGCCCAGAGCTGCCGGTGGCTGCTGGAGGGAGAAACGTGGAGCTCTGATTCCCTCTAGTGTGGGGAATGCAGGGATGGATGGGGCGAGCGCTTCCAGCATTTCTCCGCCTGGCCCACCAACAATTCACCCTTTTCCGGGGAAGGGGGAACGGGGATTTGTTCTCGGCTGTCCCGGCTCCTGCTGCAGCGGGACACGGTGGGGTTTTGTCCCTGTTCCTGGGGTTAAACCCAGCTCTGGGCAGGTGGGCTGCGGGCAGGATGGGGTTGGATCCCAGGGCCTGCAGCCCATTCCCAGTTCTGCCGTCTGCACAGGGATGTTGGGATGGCCACGGGCTGGCTCTGGACACATCCCAGGAAGCCTCCAAGGGTTTAGTTCATAATTCCGAGGCTCGGGAGTGGCCGGTGGCCGGTGCAGTTCCCCGGCCTCCAGCAGTGGGTGCTGGCGGAGCGCGGCTGTGCCCGGCCGGGCTCGGGATGTCGGGATGATGTCGGGATGATGTCGGGATGATGTCGGGATGTCGGGATGATGTCAGGATGATGTCAGGATGATGTCGGGATGATGTCGGAATGATGTCGGGATGTCAGGATGATGTCGGGATGATGTCGGGATGATGTCGGGATGATGTCGGGATGATGTCGGGATGATGTCGGGATGTCGGGACAGGGATGCTCGTGGTCCAGCCCATCCCTGCAGGATCGCACCACGTCCCCAGCCCTGCCGGAGGAGAACATTGGGGATTTTTGTAGCGTCTCCCTGCAGTTTGTGCTTGCAGGTCCCATCTCCCGTAAATCAGGTGCTGCCTGCAGAGCTCATCTCCCTCCAAGACGGGAACGAACCTCGGCAGCTGGAGAGGAAGAGCGCGGTGCCTGCAGTGAGGGAGGAGAGTCATTGATGACCAGAGGGGGGAAAAAACCCCCAAAACAGCGCGTTTGATGGTGTCTGGGAGTGATTTTAGCAGTGATCAGAGTAAAACCAATCCTGCCTTGCCTGATAATCTCATTTTCACAGCAGAAAGAAGTGGTGATGCTCTCATCCATCCCCTGCTTTTTCTCTCCTGCACATCACCAAAGCTCAGGGCACCCACGGGGATGGGCTTGGCTGGCACAGCTATTTGGTGAGAAAACCACCTAAATATTCAATTTTTCCCGCTGGTTCATTGAGCACAAAATAACAGCCAGAAAAAAGCCATTCCCAGCTGTGTCTGGGGCCAGGAGAGGGCACTGGTGCCCTGCCCGTGGCCGGGACAGCATCCTTGCCCAGAGGATGCCCGGGATTCCTGTCCGGCTGGAGATGCCACCCGGCAGAGCCGCCTTCCTGGTCGGCTCTGGAGTACGGGAAACGTGCCAGGAGGAGCAGAGAGAGCCGAGAAACTCCTGCTTGGTGAACAAAAGGTGCTCTAATGTGGGGGAAGGAGAGCTCCCGTGGTCGCCAGCCTCTCAAGCTGGCTGGGAGCCACCAGCAAATAAATTCCCGTTTGACGCAGTGAAGGCATCTAATCACGTCAGCCTTCAGGATGGGGAAAACCCAGAGAAAAACACTCGAAAAGAGGGCGGCAGCTGCCCAGGAACGCCGCAGGGCTCAGGGCCTGAGTGGCTGGACGGGCAGGAGTCCAGCCCCTCCAGGAGCTCCGCGGGAGCTGCCCCTGCCAAGCACCCGGTGCTGGTGCCACCTCACCGCTTCCTGGAGGCTGAAATCGCCCCTTTCCCTGGAAATAAATGTCACTCTGACCCGGGAACCCCCAGCTTCCCTCCACTTTTTCTATTTATGAGTTTCCTTGAGCTCCTCCGCCCTCTCCTGCCGTGTCCCGGGGATGTCCCCCCTGCCCATGCCGCGGGCAGCTCCAGCCCCAGCGCTCCGGACTGGGTTGGAGGTGAGGCTGGAGATCCTGCCCGCCCACCCATCCCTTCGGAGAAACCTGTCTTTCCAGGGAGGGAGAGCGGCATGTGGGAAAGCCGAGAGCCCTGGAACGTGAATTACCCAGGGAGAGATGAATGTGTGATAGCTCGTACCTGGCAGCTACTAATTGAGCGTTAACGCTTTCAGCAGGGCTCGGAGCGGCGCTGGAGCTCGGCCCTGTCACACGGGTGTCCCCAGGGCTGCTGGGGTCACCAGGGTGGCACATGGCAGGGACAGGGAGCAGCAGCCCGGCTCCGTCGGGGTGGCTCGGTCCCTGTCACAGCACGGAGCGTGGGCTGAGGCTCTGGCCTCTGGGCTCTTTCTGCAGAAGCCAGCGTTAGGGGATTTTTTTCTTGCCTGGCTTCCCTGGAAGTTGGTAAATACTGCAGCTTGGAACAGCAGGCATGAGGAGGAAGAGGCTGGCTGTCACTTCTCTCCTTAGGGGACAGAGGTGGAGCAGGGTGTCCGTGTGCCAGCCCTGACCCTGCTCATTATCGCCAGCCAAGACGGGTTCCTTGGATGCTTTTCACTTTCCTTTTGGCGCTGCTTCGCTCCTCACCGAGGTTCAGCCCAGACGGACAGGACACAGCCCCAGGGCCACGAGGGCTATCGGGGCGACCCAAACGCGTCCTTCCTTCACCCCAACACCTTCCCTGGGGGTGCTGCCCGGCCGGGGGTGCTCAGGGCCGAAAGGGGGGACAGCGGGGCTCCGGGGCAGGTGCTGCGGGTGCTGCCCGAGCGGAGCGCTGCGCCTTCCTTCCTGCCCTCCTTCCCACCCCACCCCGCAGCCTGGCAGCGCTGCAGGGACTCATCCATTCCCCAGTTACTAATATGCAAATGGCAGCGTTTGCATGGGCCTGACGCCAAGCTGCTGGGTGTCAGGGCACCCGAGGGAGCCGGAGGTGGGGCGAGGCGTGGCACCGCGCCGCATGCTCACCTGGCCCTGCATGGCAACAGGCAATGGAGCTCTAGGTCCCTTCGGCAGCGGACCCACGGCCGCTTCGAGAGGCAGCGGGTGGCAGAGGAGGGAGGGCAAACTGGCAGCCCCTGGCAACCTGGGGCTGACGGCAGGAGGCTGGGCACACCGCGGATTTCCCCCCGCCGGCAGGATGGTGAACCTGGAGTCCGTGCACGCAGGTAAAGGGCACGGAGCGCACCGCGGAGCCGGGGCCGTGGGCTCGGCCAGGAAATGGGGCTTGCTCTGATTGCCTTGACCTTTCCCCGCTCCTTTCCCTCCTCTTTTCTCCCGCATTCCTGCCGGGGGATGGATGCTGCCCTGATCTGTTTCGGGGGCTGCCAAGCCGTGCCCACAATGTGGGAGCAGCGCTGCCTCTGCCAGCCCCAGCGGGGCTCAGGGAGAGCGCAAAGGGATCCCGGGTGCCTGGAAAATGAGTGTTTAGTGCCTGACCTGTGCGTCCTGTCACTGGGATAAAGCTGGGAGGAGGGAGAAGGGATAAATCCACGGAAGGATGCGGCAAGGGTGGAGGGAGATGTGTGAGAGAGAGATGGGACACGGGCTGAAAGGAGAAAAGTTGGCGACAAAGAGGGAAAAGGAGGGAGAAATGAATGAGGAGGGAGCTGAGGGAGGCTGGGTTGAGTCAGGAATGAATGAACAGCGATACTCAGGAACTCCTTCCAGGGGTCTGATCCAGAGGGGCAGCTCAGGGGCTCTCACACCCCCTCCGAGCAGCCCCCCGGACCCAGAGCAATCCCTGCCAAATCCCCTGGAGCCGTGCTGAGCCCCGGCTCACCCTGCCCGGGCTGCCTGGGCTCAGCCCAGGGGCAGGAGCACATCGCTGGGTGACGCTGGAACTGGAGCAGGGTGCTGGCAGTGGGATTTTGGGATACAGGAGCCCGACAGCCCCGTTAGTGACTTTTATCCTGGGCTTTGTGCGGCACCAAACGCTCTGCTGGAGGGGAGGATGCATCCATCAGTCTGTGCCGGGCTCATTCCCTGGGATAGCCCTGTGGGAGCCCTGCTGGTCAGGGGACACCTGGGGGCTGGTAGCCCCTCCACAAGCCCTGAGTGCCCGTGGGCTCGCAGACAGGCCTGCAGGGCAAGGTGCAGCAATGGCACCACCTCACCCAGTGTCAGCGGCATGGGTGGGCAAAGCCTTTTCTCCACAGCTGTATCCCAACCTCTCCACGGCTCTGGGATGCCTCAGTGGGCTGGGGAGCCCTGGCCATGAGGGGAGAAGGGAGGCTCATGGTCTTGGCTCGGGGTGTGAGGACTGGTCGGAGCACCTGCTCTGGGTGTGCTTGTGTTGGTGTCTCTTGGGGACGCGTCCCCCGCAGGCTCCAATCCACCCATCCACCCATCCGCCGGGCTTGTGGGCGACTCTTTCTTCATGAGAAGATTCCCCAGATCGATACTGTGCCCTCTGTCAGAGGCAGTGGCATCGCTCCCAGGCTGGATTTGGAGCTCTGGGTGCACGCAGCACTTCCACTCCCCCAAACCATCCCCTCGTGCTGTCAGAAAGGCCAGAGCTTTAAGGAGTCTCTTTGCAGGGAAAGGAGCCCAGCACAGGTGGGAGGGTTTTTTTTTACCCCTGTACAACATCTGTTCAGTTTTG